TGATCGACAAAATTTCAAAAATCTTACATAGTGGGCCAATCATATAGTGCTGCACTATGATAGTAAATCATTTGGTACGTATCTAACACCCCAGGCCCGGAACTATAAAGCTTCAACTCCCAGATGCACGTGATAATTAACAAATTAAATTGTAGTATACAATCAAAATACTAAAATATTTCAAGCACATTTGGTTGTCTTGAGATTTAGGTCTTTATATTTTTGCAACGAATTAGCAATATGTTTAATTGGTATTTGTAAATGCAAATATTTATTAAAAATATTGACAAGCTATGAAGCAATAGCGATAGCAGTATATAATAATATTTTAGCAGAAATCTTAGTTTAGATTTTTTACAAATTCTAAATATAATTGTGTTATATATTAAGTTTTATATCATAATATTGCGATTATGGAGACCAATTTTCAGTGACACCATGGCACGGGATGTTGACCATGTGAGGCAGCGAGACGATATTGTATTTCATAACTTGTTTGCGTTAGTATTGATCGGGTGTATATAATTATAAATAAAATAAAATTGATATCAAACTATATATATATATATTAGATACAAATATTAAATTAAAAACATAATTTTTAAGGAATGAATAATATAACTTCGATTCAACTACAATTCTAATTTGTAATTCATCTAATTCATGTCCATAGTTTGATCTGATTCAGTATTGTACTGTATAACATAAAAAACCAATGAGACTTCGAAATTTACTTACATAGATAGCTACAATACGCTATCAAAGGTTGTTAGCGTAAGAGTGAAAAAAGTAAACGTCAATATTAAAGTTCTATTCATAAACGAGGATTATCGATATGTGCTGCAATTTGCAAATCCCTTAACTGACCTGGAACGGTACGTAAGGAATTAAACGTAATTAAAAATACGCGCTATTATTGAGGCTTGGCTACATATCTAGTTTTTACAACCGAGTTACCTTCGATTATTTTTTGTTGTTCAATATTGATTGGAGAAATCAAAAATAACAAGCCTCATGATTCTGTTTAAATTTGCTATAAAAAGTTTAATAATCTTCGTCTTGTTAAAGAAAAAAATGACATTAAATTTAGAAAACTTTTTATTAAAAGATATAAAAAATTTATTCAACGATCAAAATTACTCTAATGTAGTAATTCAAGTTGGTCGACACCCTGATACTAATAACTTCAAAGCACATTCTTTGATATTACGAGCTAGATCATCATATTTTCGGTCGGCTTTAAAAACAAATGATGGTCAGGTATCTACATTGAATTTACCAGATATTTCTCCTCATGTGTTTGAACACATTTTAAAGTTCGTATTTTTTTTTTTGCTTTTAATCATTAATCATTCTGTTGTAATATTTATGAAAAGCTTGAAATAATTAATAAAATTTATATGAATTAAACTTGTTTAAATATAGTTATATATATAGCGGAACAATTAATTTGAACTACACATCACTGAGATCTATATATTTTGAAATATTAATCGCATCATCCGATCTAAAACTTACGGAACTAATCGATCATCTTCAGACCCACCTTCTTACTAATGATACCGAATGGATTCATGCTAATTTACTTAAAGTTCTATACCTCACATTTACTCATCCATCGTACTTCCACCTATCCAAATTTTGTCAGAATATTTTCAACACGCAATCAGCACAAATATTTAGTTCATCAGAATTCATCGATCTAGAAGAACAATTCTTAATTAACATAATTGAACGTAACGACCTTCAAATTGACGAAATAGTAATTTGGGAAGCCGTTATTCGGTGGGGAATCGGAAAATTGCCATCTCTGAGTGAGGATGTAAAGGAATGGACGAATAAAGAGTTTATTAAACTAAGAAAAGTAGTAAAAAATTTATTACCGCATATTAGATTTTTTAACATTTCGGGGTTAGATCATAGAACTAAAATCCGACCGTTTAAAAAAATTTTGGGAAAGGAATTGAGAGAGGAAATTAAGGACTTTTTCTTTGCAAAGATTCCACCAACAAAGTTTCAACAACTTCCACCTCGTATTATAGGAGGTTCGAGTAATGAGAATGAAAATCACGTTAATAACCAAGTCGTAAATAATTTATATGTTAATCAAGCTAATTCAGTTGGAGTTAATACTTCGTTGAGTTCTATCGACTCGATAATTATTGGAGAAAAAGGGTTCGCCAAAATAGCATCATGGATCGACAAAAAACAACCAGCTTATACATATACACCAGCAGAAATACCTTACGATTTCAAGTTATTATATAGGGGAAGTAGAGATGGCGTAGCAAACGTGAAGAAATTCCATGAACGATGTGGAAATCAAGGTGCTACAATTATCATCATTAAAATTTCTGAGTCTACACGAGTTCTTGGTGGATATAATCCTGAAGACTGGTTGAATGAAAATGTGTGGGGTGAACGAATGTTTAGTTTTATTTTTTCTATGGAAAATGATCGTGACAATGGAAATAACGAGAAAGATATTGGTAATAATTATCATAAAATGGAAACAGGAAATAGTAGTAATGATAATGAGACTAATAATGCTAGTAATTCACCTAAACCAAAAAAAGATAACCATGATATAGTGGCGAGAGTAAAGTTAGCCAAATTCGCAATCTGGAATTCACAAAAGAATCCAGGATTTAGTTTAGATTTACGATGGTTTAGTGGTACCTGTACTCCTAAGGCGTATGATAAACCTATTTTTGACGATAAAGTATTTTCCCTCACAGACTTTGAGGTGTTCAAGGTTGAAAAAAAGTGTGTAAATGATGCACATACGAGGAAGAGAGCTAGAATAACTAGAGTAGAGGATGAAGAAGAGGAATTGGATTTTGATTTAGATGAGGGAGATTATGGTGGTGATAATGCTGAAAAGAGGCTTAAATTGTAGTCCTAGTTCTTTGGTATTAACTCTGGTGTACCTGATTTATAGTTAGTGCTGGCTAGATGTAAATTATTAGCAAAATGACGATTGGCGAGTTTTGTTAATATTATATTATTAAATGAATTTTGAAATAATAAATGTAGCCAATTCCTTCTAATGAACTGACAGTCCCTGACAGAAAAAAAGTTCATTATAATATTTTTTTAAAAAACCATAGTCTTTTTCAGGGGTACCGAAAAATTAATTGCAATTAAATTTTTTTACAATTACCATTTATCATAATTGTTACACGAAAATAAT